TGACGGCGAACCCTCTGTCCAGTCTTGGTGCTCCTCCAGTGATAGCGGTGCCCTCCTAGATGATGGTGGCGCCCTTCTGTCCAGTGTTGGCGCTCCGGCTCCTCTGGTGATAACGGCGCCCTCCTAGACGATGGTGGCGCCCCTCTGTCCAGTGTTGGCGCCCCTCCAGTCGATAGCGGTGCGCTCCTAGATGATGGCGGCGCCCCTCTGTCCAGAGTTGGCGCTCCTGCAGTCGGTAGCGGCGCGCTTCTAGATGATGGCGGCGCCCCTCTGTCCAGAGTTAGCGCTCCTCCAGTCGATAGCAGCGCGCTCCTAGATGATGGGGCGCCCCTCTGTCCAGTGTTGGCGCCCCTCCAGTTGACAGCGACGAGCTCCTAGATGATGACGGCGAACCCTCTGTCTAGTCTTGGCACTCCTGCAGAGATAGGGTGCCCTCCTAGACGAAGGTGGCGCCCTTCTGTCCAGTGTTGGCGCTCCTCTGGTGATAACGGCGCTCTCCTAGACGATGGTGGCGCCCCTCTGTCCAGTGTTGGCGCCCCTCCAGTCGATAGCGGTGCGCTCCTAGATGATGGCGGCGCCCCTCTGTCCAGAGTTGGCGCTCCTCCAGTCGATAGCGGCGCGCTTCTAGATGATGGGGCGCCCCTCTGTCCAGTGTTGGCGCCCCTCCAGTCGACAGCGACGAGCTCCTAGATGATGACGGCGACGCCCCTTTGTCCAGTCTTGGCGCTCCTTCAGTGATAGCGGTGCCCTCCTAGACGATGGTGGTGACCCTCTGTCCAGTGTTGGCGCCCCTCCAGTCGATAACGGCGCGCTCCTAGATTATGGCGGCGCCCCTCTGTCCAGTGTTTGCACTCCTCCAGTCGATAGCGGCGCTCTCCTAGATGATGGCACCTTCCCGGCTCACTGGTGTCCTGATCAGAGGGCGCCCTCCCGGCTCACTGACGTGCTTCTGACCAGAAGGCGCCCTCCAACTCACTAGCATGCTTCTTATCAGAAGGCGCCCTCACGGCTAATTGGAATGCATCTCCTCAGAAGGCGCCCTCTCCACTCACCGGCGTGCTTCTGATCGTAAGGCTCCCTCCTGACCCACTGGCGTGCTTCTGATCGTAAGGCGCCCTTCCGACTCACTGGTGAGGTACTTGTTATCAGAGGTCGCCCCACCGACACACTGACGTGCTTCTGATCAGAGGGCGCCCTCCCGGCTCACTGGCGTGCTTCTGGTCAGAAGGCGCCCTCCGACTTCATGAGTATGGTGTCAGTTATGGGATATGTAGAAATGCTGCAGCTCTAGTCTCTGAATAGCTCCCATGGCCATGTTCCTAATCTTATAGCTTGATGATAAAGTTATTTTATTATTATAGTATTATAACATTCTTATAGTTATAAGACTTGAACCTATCTGTATTTTTTCTTTTAAATCCAACATTTATTTTCTATAGCCAATAAACCAGGGTGTATTAAAAAAAGGGACCCTCCCACCTTAACATTAGTTTTGAGTTGAGATAGCCAAATTGGTGGCCATGGCCTGAAAATACCGGTTTGGGCATTCACAACATCGAAAAATGCTTTAATTCGGAGATATGGAATTTCAAACTTGCAGTTTTCGGATTCTAAGGGGCTAATGCAATGGTATGCCCCCTTAGAATTTGTGACGTCAGCGGAGATCTAACGATTTTTAAATCTTTTACTAAAACGTTTGGCAGCACGCGGTGGTATATGCTGCTTTGCGCGCAACAAATGCCGCACTTTCAAATAAAGTCGCTAGGAACAGCGGAGATCCCAAAAAGTAAACAAAAGTAAAAGTCTAATATCTTGAAAACCGGTGAATATTTTTCGATGAAATTTGGTAGAAATTCATTTTTGCTCTTTCTGAACCGAGCGACATCACTTTCATGCCAATTCATTAACTTTTTTGAAGGTGGGAGGGTCCCTTTAAGAACAATAAACATCGTTAATTTTTATCATAGTACTTGTAGTTGTCTGATATTTCGGCTGTTTTCTGCTTTCCTAACAAAAACCGTTAACGGCTGACGCTTTCCGAGACGCTGGGTCGGGCTCAAAATTCAAATTTAGGCATAGAAGTTAGAACCCCGTTCATATTAAAAATTATATGTAAAGTACTGTAGCACGGTCCTTTGTATTGGATGACTAAACAGCAGTGAGCAAAAAATGAATTCAGGCAACAAAAGAACGCGAAAGAAATCTGGTGCACAGAACAGGGCTGCTAAGAAAAGGAAAGAATTGCTGTCGTCTGCGTCTTGCAATCGGTCTATCCTTGAGTTTTGCAGGTGAGTCAAACGGCCGTGTACCTATACTGTGTAAGTGTATCAAATTGAAAAAAAGATGCGTGTTTTTTTTGGTATTCAATGTAGCTATCACTTGGGGAAAATTGTACCTAGTTAGTGAGTACTGAGTAATGTGTCATGTCTGAATCATATCAGGCGCGGATACAAGGGAGGGGCGATGGGGGCCATGGCCCCTCCCTTGAGCGATATTTTAGTCTTAAGAAATAAAATTAATGAAGAAAAAAACTGAAAAGAGGGCCTCCATGAAGTGAGTGAAATCCGATGAGTTTTTCGAAAAAGTAGGACTTTTAGGGACCTCTGAAGCTGAGAAAGGGGCCTCGTGAATATAAAGTTGGTTAAATCCGATGAGTTTTTTTTCGAGAAAAAAAAAAGATTATTTAGGGGCCTCCAGAAGTGGGAAAATGGGGCCTCCAACAGGTGGGGCCTCCTGGGTTCTAATAGCCTCCCTTGGAGATTTTCTAGATCCGCCCCTGAATCATATACCCTCCGTTTGGACAGCCTGAGAGGCTGGATCCGACCCCTCCGTTTTTCCTGAAAGCAAAAAAAAAACTGATCTGAACCGTTGGCGTTGGCAAGGTCGCATTCAGCAATTTCCAAAGGTAGGGGCCAATCAGGGCTAATATGTTGTCTCTTCGTTAACTGCACTGATATTATATCTACTTACCTACCTGCTGACTGCTGTGCTAACCTCGTTTTGAAAGGGAGGGGCCAAAATTGGTCTTGGCCCCGTGTTGCCCGATTTAGGCCATGGAACCGATATAATTGCGCAGCACGCGTTTGTGTGGAGTGATTCCGATTTATTCGGCTCTAGACTCTGCCGTCTTTAAACTAGATGCCGGCATCACTACCGTGTTGCCTTGGACCAGAATCGGAGACGAAAATGTTTGGAGTGAGTGAGATTCGAACCCGCGACCTTTCGGTTACAAAATGTTTTTTTTGTGATAGCACGTGCTACGTTTATGCTAGAGCGCTCATTCTTTCAGCATCTTGTAGCGCTTGTCGAGTTCTATCAGTGTGCCAAGTTTTGAAGTGCTATACTCCGTTTATTTTCAGTTGGCGTACGTCCCGAAGAATGGCTTAATCGATATCACGTGCAAACACCAATCCACCTGTATTCAAATGTAGTCAAAATTCAACGACTTTCTTGAAAAATATGTGAGTTTCTTAAAAGCCTAGTTTTCACGTGACGTCTGTAAAATCGTTCTTCGGGCCGTACGCCAACTGAAAATTAACGAAGTATTGCTCAACAGATGACAGTTTTAGAGCGTTTTCCGTGAAAACGTTTTTCCGAAAACATTTCCGCAGCGACCTCCCAATGGGAACCTTCGTTCGCTCAGCCACGCTACGCGCGGCTTCGCTCTCCGATTCTAGACAAGCGTATATCCAAATGAGACACACCACATTGAACATGACATGCGTTGTGCTATCCCAAATCGGTAACAGCAAAAGAAACAATCCAGTCACTGCAGCGGTGTATCGTATCCATGTTGGTCCTAACCTATTCCTAACGATTTCCACAGTACCGCTCCTCCGTCCTCCGGTGGGCCCAGGTCACTGGAACCCCGACCTGGCTGTTCCTCTGCAACGCTATGTTCGTACCGCACGTGTACCGCTGCCTGAGGCTGATCAATGTGTACGCATGTACAATGTCAGTTATGTTCGTTCCGCACGTGTACGAACATAACTGACACATTCAAGTTTCAGATATGTGGCGCCCTCCTTGTTGTTGGCGCCCTCCTGGATTGGCGCCCTTTCGTCCAATGCCCTGGTCCTTCGCGAATTCCTGGGTACGCCACTGGGGGTACTGTACCCCCCATGGGAATTATTGACGGGGTCCGGACCCCCGCGTACCCCCCTGTGGCGGAGCCCCTGAACAGGGGCTGAAAATTCACCTAATATTAGACTTGTTTCGCTTTGCACAATACCTCCCTACATCGAGTTATTTTTCACGCTTTTATGGGAATAATCGATGGCTGTCAAATTCAATTTGAATTTGACGCTGACAACAGCGAACTTCCTCAGTGTTTCATTCGAAACGTTTCTCCTTCTTTCAGGACTCGGAAGGGTAATTCAAATGATTTCATAAATACAGTCATGGGATACAGTACAATAACCCTTGTTAGACGGGTTCCCCTTCGATATACGAGGGTCTTGCAAAGTCTAGACGATGTGGTGCCCTGGTGCCTCAGTGACACTGTTCTGTCGCTTACGACGGATAACATTAGCCGGGAATTCATTGATATTGTTAGCTTTGTTACTGTTCTACTGGATACAAACTGGCCCTGGCGACTAAACGTTAACGTTCAGTCGCGGGTCTACGCTGAACGATAACATTCAGTCGCGGGTCTACGCTGAACGATAACGTTCAGTCGCGGGTCTACGCTGAACGATAACGTTCAGTCGCGGGTCTACGCTGAACGAGGGTGGCCGGTGGGATGGCGGCGGTGTTTACTGTCAAGTCTGTCGCGAGACCCTCCAAGCATATTGGTGGGACGCCCTCGGTCAGTGAACACATTTTGTTGCCTCTTTTTGTTAGACCACGCATGCTCTCCATGAGCCTTGCAATACCTATGCAGACATCACCAAAGTATCGACGCGCTGTCATTGCTTTAGATCCCGTATTACGCTATGGTTGTAATTGGTGCCATTGTTTCGGAACCGCCCAGCAACAGCCTCCTCTGTGTGTATTGGCAGGGTGATGCGGCTGCTGGTGCTGGTGCTGGTGCCGCTGCTGCTGGCTGGCCGGTGCGCCGGCGGGCCGCTGGTGCTGCCCTCCGGCGGCGTGTCGCCGTCCCGCCAGGTGGCGCCCAGCCAGGGCATCCTGGGTGAGCTGCAGCAGCTGTTCAGGGAGGCGGCCGCCGGCCAGCAGCAGGTAGAGTACGGCGCCGCCCGCGAGGAGCTCGAGCAGATGGTGGCCAGCCTGGACCAGCTGGCGGCCGTGGTGCCGCTCGGCCAGCAGGACGCGCCCGGCAGTGAGACGGTGACGGTCTCCACCACCACCGAGGAGCCGGCCAACGTGCCCATCATCGACCCAGGTCAGCGCCGCGCAGCGACAGGAGGGGAGACGGGGGATGGGACGGCGCGGGAGGGGATAGAGGTGCCTCCAGTGTCTTCAGTGAAACGTGACACGAGTATCCTGGGGAGGACGTGGTTCTTTTTATCAGTTCATCGTCGTTTCTCGTCGTTACCTGTGCTGCATTCGTAAGTGCGTAACATTGCGAATATTTCACGTTTCGTTGACTTATCCCATGTTTTTGCAGGTCTGTTTGTGATCCAGGGAGTGAAGACGTGCGGTGACGGCGCCGGCTACTGCATGCTGGGCGCCAACTGTTCGGCCGACTCTGACTTCAGCGCCGACCCGTCCGGCCACTGCGTCGGCCTGCGCACCGCCTTCTCGCCGCCGGCCGACTTCTCGTGCTGTCAGTTCGAGGCGGCGCGCCGACGCACGGCCACGCCGCGACCCACGCCCACCACCACCGAGGGCACCACCTTCGACGACGGCCTGGTCGACTCCATCGTCAACTTCGGCAACGACGTGCCCGAGCGGCCGAGCGACGACAGCAGCCAGATCGTCGACATCGTGGCCATCATCACCGACAGCACGGGCATCGTGGACATCGTGACTCGGCCGTACACGGGCCCCTGGCCTCCAGTGGACAGTGACGACGCCGAGGGCGTCACACTGCCGTTCGCCAAGCCCGGCGAGACGTTCGAGCCCGGCTCGCTGGTCGGTCTCGGCCAGAACGTCAACCTGGGCACGACGCCGGCGGACACGTTCCAGGCGGGCGACCTGCCGCCCGAGGAGGAGCTGCAGGCGGCGGCCGGGGTGACGGCGGCGCCCGGCGCAGAGCCCATCATCACCACGGCGGCCACCACGCCGGCCACGCCGGCCGGCAGCACGCCGAGCACGGCCGAGAGCACGGCCGCCGAGCCGCCGCCGGCCGACGGCGACCCGCTGGGCCCGCTGTCGGCCGTGCCCGTCATGGATCAGAGCCAGGACTACATCGGGGACGTGGACTACGATCAGCACCTGATGCCGGCGCTGATGCCCATCCGGCCGGGCACCAAGGCCGACGGCGTGCAGACCAACGTGGAGGGCAGCGGCGCCGCGGAGGACGGCCCGGCGGCGGACGCAGACGCGGCGGGAGAGGTGTTCAGGGTGGGCATTGAGAGCGATGCTGCCGATGACCTGCTGGAGCTGGCTCAGGACCTCACCGAGGGCTCTGGAGTGGCCATTCTGAGGGACGATGAGGGGGACCATCAGGAGCAGCAGTCGGCTCCGACCGAGGATAAGGAGCAGGCTAAACAGGAGCTGGAGAAGTCGGAGTTGCAGTCAGAGTCGGAACCAAAGCCAGAGTCGGAGTCGGAGTCGGGGAACCGGAAGCCGTCGAGGCCAGCGCCGGTGTCCGGGGTGGCGTTCCAGAGACCCCCAGTCTCCGGAGGACCCAAAGGCTCCCACGGCAGCCTCTCAACCTCCATAGGCCAGCCCAGCTGCGGCGTCATGGGCTCCTCGCTGGCCACCCTGCTCGCCAGAAATCGATTCGTAAGTTCACCAAATGATGGCTCGACTACCGTTTTTTTTTTCTCACCGCACTGAAGTTCATAGAAACGCTTAGCTTAGATGCGTCAGCATGTTTTAAATGTGCAAATCCCCCAAGTCGAAACCCGTTCTTAGGCTCGATTGAGCTTGTTGCGCTGGTCCTGACCTCTAAGGCCCCCTCAGGAAAGCGTGTGTAAACGGTGGATCCTAGAATGAAACTTTTGATAATTGTCCACTGAGCCAAACACATCATGTGTAGGTATCTTTGGAAAATAAGCCATCTCCGTGTAACCGAGATTCCTTTAAGGTTCCACGTCCCATTTGACCCTACTCTGTCGCCTTTTGCAGCGTTGCCATGGTTACGACAGCCCCACGGCGCTGTGGTCTGGATGGCCGCTCTTCCCTGACCTCTCCCTCCCCCTGCCCCCCCCCCCCGCAGCGCCCGCGCATTGACGACAGTCCGGAGGGCGGCGAGGTAACCAGCGCCGTGGTCTGGTGCTGGATGGCGGCCATCATGCGGAAGACGCGCGACCCGGAGAACCCGTACAGCTTCGTGTGCTCGGGCACGCTGGTGGAGCGGGACCTGGTGGTGACCACCGCCAGCTGCGCCTCTAGGTGAGACACATATGCCACTGTTAACGGTGTGTAACAGTGTGTGTGCTACTTGCTAGTTGTCTGGTGGTTTCACCATGCACACTGCACAGAGCACGTACAATCGGCTACAATGCAGTTAAATAGAGCACAAGATCGTTTCATTACATTGATGGTAAATCCACCGCATTGTGACCTGTCGTGCTGCTCATTTGTTGAATGTTTATTGGATGGAAACGGGGCGGTTATTTTGTGGTAGCCCTCCAGAGCAGCTGACGAGTGCCTGGCCGTCGAACGTCAGGTGACCAGCCCACGTCACTCTGATGTCACGCCTCAAACGAACCGTGTACGGGTGACGCGTGTTCATAGTGACGTCAGCATGTCTCGCGGCCAAGCCGGGAACGTGTGGCATGCTGTCAGGTCTCCTCGTCTACAGACGCTGATTCAGGAGTCACCTCTGACCTTTCTAACGCCCCTCTCCTCTCCTGGCGCCCGGTCAGACTGTTCCAGGAGCCGCTGCGCGACTTTGTCGTGCTGCTCGGAGCCTCCAACCTGCGCGTCAACCTCGAGTTTGGCGTGCAGCACATGGAGCTGGATGAGATCATCGTTCATGAGGATTACCAGATCAACAGTCACGTGCACGCCAACAACATCGGTGAGAAAAATGGCGGTGAGCGGGCCGGCGCCGGCCGCCGACGCTGGTGGAGCTCAGGCCCGCTATACATACAGGATACAGACGGTGTATACATATGGTGATTGGTTTGGACTCTCTGTTCACTGTATGCTCTTCGGAGCACAAATCTGTTGGAGTTGTCCTCTCTAACTTTCCCCGAGTCGTTGTCCGTCAGTGGGCTCTGTGGGCACCGTGTCCGTCTATCATGTAGGTTTTCTGTCTCATTTGGCGGCACCTACATCAGTGACCACCAGACCCTGTGACCCATGCTAACCGCCCCACCATCAGACCTTGTGAAGCTCTCCCGGCCGGTGCTGCTGGTCCCTCTGACGTCTATGACCGCCCCACCCTCAGGTCTTCTGAAGCTGTCCCGGCCGGCGCTGCTGGAGCGCACCGTCTGCCTGCTCTGTCTGCCGCCGGAGAATATGGAGCTGACTGGTCGGCAGAGCTGCGCCGTCACCGGATACGGCCTGGCCGACTCACGGGACGCAGCGACGACTCAGCAGCAGGGTGAGTCAGTATAGAGTCAGTAGTCACTCGAGAGATCACGAGATGACCCAGGGTGAGTCAATGTAGAGTCAGTAGTCACTCGCGGGACGCAGCGCCCACTTAGCAGCAGGGTGAGTCAATATAGAGTCAGTAGTTAGTCGAGAGACTCCTTGCCGACTCAACATGAGTCGTGGTATGTAGAAGTCGTGGGGATACCAGGGTTGGGCTAGCACCTGGCCGACGCGACGCTCCAACGTTGATTGATGTGTAGAGATGATGTATCGATGCATGAATCGATGATGCGTCGATGACTATGCACCAATATATTAATATATTGCTCGCACGTGTGCTCTGACCCCATTTGTCCGTCCCCTGACCTGCGTCTGACCTGTGTGACCTCTGTGTATCAGCCGCGACGCTGGAGCTGACCTGTGTGAGGTGTGTGACCTCTCCCCGCCTCTGACCTCTGTGACCTCTGTGTATCAGCTGCGGCGCCGGAGCTGGCCGGGGTACTCCGGCAGACCCACGTCCCGGTCATGGGCGGAGAGCAGTGCCGCGCCAGTGGCGCCATGCAGCGGCTGGCCAGCGCACTACCGGGCCTGGACGAGCGCAGCTTCCTCTGCGCCGGGGGCCGACGGTTCGCGGACGCCTGTCACGTGAGTGCTGAGGTCGGGTCACGCTGTGGGGTCATACGAGAGGTCAGTCGTCTTGCAGTGCCAGCTCGTGATGACTAGCGGAACTGGAGCTGTCTACTACACGGGACTGAACAGGGCTGGTTGCCGTCGACGCGATGAAATTATTCAAGGTTGGACCTTATTCCGTCATGCCCAAAGCGTTTACAGAGCTTACATAATACATTAAAATGACATTAAATAAACAAAGATAATTGTTTCATAAGGTCATGCGGTCCACACAAGCGTGCAGTGGCTGCGCCCGCATGCCCCAAAACCGGTTCTGTGTGAGCTGCGTTGCAGCGTACACTGGCGTTGCACTAGTTCCGGACGGGGTGAGACAGGACGGGGCGCACTGAGCAGCGGCCGAGTCGGGATACCGACCACAGGGGAGAGGTGGGCTGGGTCAGGGAGGCACGGGACACTTGTCCGCGCGGCGGGGCGGGTCTAGCGAATAATGCCGAATAATGCTGAGTCGCCCATGAACGGGCTACTGCTGTAGCTAGTGTAGTTGCTAGGCCAGACACTGTTCATAGGACGATCGTCGACTGCTGAGTACGCTACTGTTGCTTTGCCAGCTGGCTATAAATAACTTTCTTGCAGCCCTGTGCAGCTCTACGTCAAACTAAATGACGGTAAAGCCCACCTGTCCTCCCTCCCCCTTCCCCACGCTCCCCTCGTTTCTGCCCTGACCGCTGTGTGACCCCCTGTGCGCCCTCCCGGCCACCGGCAGATCTCGCGGGACGGCAGCAGTCCTCTGGCGTGCATGGCGGCGGAGAACGGCCGCTACTACCTGTACGGCCACATCGCCCGGGACGCCGAGTGCGGCGACACGTCCCAGCCGCACGTCTACACCAACGTGGCCAGTCTGTTCGGCTGGATCAGGGACAACTACGGACGCATGGCCAGGAAGGCGGCCGCGCCGGCCCGGTGAAGGACGCGCGGGGCTGAGAGGGGCCGGGCGAGCGGGGTGGGACTGGTTGACGTGGTCCGTTTACCGCATAGACGCGTCGCCTTTACTCAATGATATTTGGTAGAGGCATTTTTCTATGCAATTTTACGTTTACTTCTTGTGTGACTTTGAAGGTTTCACATCCCTGTGCCGTCCTGTTATGATCTGAGCAGAAAACGAGTAGTGTGCCGCCCATGTCAGTCTGCGTAAGGATATAACAGGTTATAAGCAGCCTGTCGTCGATAGTCACATCACAGGGTTGGGCTAGATCTTTTTTTAAATTTGAGCTGTTTTGTACGAAGTGGATACTTCCAGGCACCCGGGGACATAGCAGCGCAGTTAATGGCGAATCGTTATCCCCCTCTATTGAGTTTGTGTTCCGTGGGCTTCCATTGCAGCTGGCAGGCAGACGGCGCAGTGCTGTCGTTTATTTTCGAGCCACCCGACGGGGGCGGTATCCGGAGGGCATTGGGTCCGTAGACGCCCGTATATCCGCCAAAGATATAGCATCGATTTGTGGAGCGCGCCGCCAGTGTTGACTGTATGTCTGTGCTAGAAATAGATGTTGACTATATTATCGTCACCTTATGACAGAATAGCTCCAGTCTGGGATGAGCGGAGAAGTAACGGTCGAACTCGGTGATAGGACAGTGTATATAAATACACTGGGTGATAGTTATAACCGCGGACCGTTGGGCGGGACGTGGGCTCACAATAATTCACAGTCAGTTCCGCTACCCTTCCACGGTCGCGTGAGAACGGGACTCAGAATCCTCGACTGGGAGACCGTCACCATCTCTCACAGAGAACCCGGCCCGTTTAGGCTGCGAACCTTGGGGTGAAGGCGGGCGCTGGCCCATCTCCCGACCGGCGGTCACTGAGATCGTGGCTAATTATACCTCTCGTCTACAGAGTCACACAGGCCCTTTGCAATGCAGGTCTCAATTGTATTGACATTATCGATACACGAACAAATACATTTCACACAGTTCACTCCTCAGCATGCCCCCATGGCACAACCATGGTTGTAAAAACGGTCTCAAACGGCGTCCAAGCGCCAAGCTGAGGGACCCGACGTCCCGTCTGTGGGTTGAGTTGTACCAATGTGTCATAAATAGCTGGGCGACACATGTCATTAACATAAACAACAGACTATCATCAGATCTAAACAAAATCAAACCGTATTGTACATCGACGTCAATGGTAAAAGTATATCAGCAGCCACAGTGAGCCCAACAATAACAATTCAGAGCAAACTGCTCAGCGCAGCGGCGCGCGACACAAAAACACACCACACTCACACATATCGACAATATTCGGGGACACGCACATACTGCTCTCTCCCTCTATGTACAGCTGCGCGGCAGACGGCGCTCACAGCAGCTGCCTCGCTCTCTGCCGGCGGGCGGTCCCTCTGCAGAGAGCGGACCGCGTGGCGGCGCCAGCTGCCTTCCAGCACAGCGCGGTCAGAGTGCCGCAGCTGCCCTCTAGCGCAGCGCGGTCAGCGGCGCCAGCTGCCCTCCAACACAGCGCGGTCACCGGCGCCGCAGCTGCCCTCCAACACAGCGCGGTGGGGGTGCCGCAGCTGCCCTCCAGCGCAGCGCGGTCAGCGGCGCCAGCTGCCCTCCAACACAGCGCGGTGGGGGTGCCGCAGCTGCCCTCCAGCGCAGCGCGGTCAGAGTGCCGCAGCTACCCTCCAGCGCAGCGCGGTCAGTGGCGCTGCAGCTAGCCCGAACAGTCGTCCGCGTGGCTGTCCCAGGCCTCCACCTGGGGGGCACACCGGACATCGGGTCAGTCGGACGGCGGTACGAGTGGTGACATTCAAATGGCCAGGGCGGGCGGCGGTATAACCAGGTGGTACGGGGTGGGGGATAGCGGTGTGACCAATCCGTTCAAATGCCGAAACTAAGGAACCAGTTGACTCCTGTTTGACATGCTTTGCTACCAGCAAACAAGTGTACATGTCTCAAATGAAGTTGGTCAAACGAATCGCTTCAGCAATACACCTTCACGACAACGCCCAAGTGACTTTCGCTGGAGTAGCAGCAGCACCAGCTGTCCATCTCTGGATCAGGGACAACGCTTATCCCTGGCTGGAGCACCATGAGGGTCACTCACCTGGCAGTCCCTGAAGCAGTACCAATTGAGGAGTGGCTGACTGGGAGGGGGAAGCTCACCCGACAGTCCCTGGAGCAGTTCCACTGGTGGGAGGACCTTTCACCTGACAGTCCCTGCAGCAGTACTTATGGAGGGGTGGCTGACTGGGAGGGGGAAGCTCACCCGACAGTCCCTGGAGCAATACAACTGGTAAATGGTGGGGTGGGGTGGTGGGATATATCTCTCACCTGACAGTCCCTGGAGCAGTACCACAGCTGGTGGGACTGGGATAGGTCCTCACCAGACAGTCCCTGGGGCAGTACCACAGCTGGTGGGACTGGGATGCTTCTTACCTGACAGTCCCTGGAACAGTACCACTGGTGGGATTGGGATAGGTCCTCACCTGACAGGCCCTGGAGCAGTACCACAGCTGGTGGGACTGGGATAGGTCCTCACCAGACAGTCCCTGGGGCAGTACCACAGCTGGTGGGACTGGGATGCTTCTTACCTGACAGTCCCTGGAGCAGTACCACTGGTGGCCGCAGCCGGCGCACACGAACTGCGCCTGCCGCTGCTGGCAGCCCTGGCAGAGCGGCACCTCCTCGGTGGCCGGCGGCGGCGGCGGCGGAGGGGCGGCCGGCGCTGACACGCGCGGCACCGGGGAGCGCAGAGACAGCTGCGCCTGGGGCGACTGCAGCACGCCGCCCGACAGCGGTCCGGCCGGCCGGCGCTGCGGCAGAGCGGTACACGGTCAGACGGTACAGCGGCGAGCGGGGCGGGGGCTGCTGACGTCACAGGGGCGGACTGGCCGGCTGATGGTCCAGTATTGGCAGAAATAAAAACAGGTAAAACGTGGGCGGTAATTCCCAGCCGAATGGACGGCAGCTATCATGGTGCCACGACCAAAAGAAGCCACTGCTCAGGGCCGGCGAGTATTACTAAAATTGCGACGTGGATCACAGACGTTACGTAAGAAGGACCTGTCGTTATTCAGCGTGCACCCAGGATACGAGTTTATAGTGAATGCCTGGTGGGATACCCGGATGCACGCCATTACTTGAGTTGTCAATGGAAGTGTAACTACGAGAAAATCCCCTCAAATCCACAGCAGTTGACCACAAATGACCAATAAACACCAACTATGACCTCCACCACACATCCAACCAGTGTCAGAAAAGTGGCCGGTTTCTCAATTTTTTTGAACTTGGAAGATTTGTTCTGTGAGATTTTTCACTGCTAATTATCGATTTTTTTGTTCCGTCACTGACTCAATATCAACTGCAACTGGGCATCACAGGACTGAAAGGGAAACTTACTAAAGAAACATGTTAATTGAAAATTTGACATTGTGCTTTGTTCTGTTTTCAGATCTCCAAAGCAGCAAGCAAGCATCCTGCAAGTACTATTGAAACAGATAAGAAGCAGTTGCTCCACAATTTCACCATGCAATCATCATAATTGGATCAGTTAAAATGCCAGTCATTCATTACTTTCCAAAGTTGAAGTGCTTACAAGATGAGATAGAAGTATTGACAAACCATGTCAAACTATCCAGCAAGTTTTAAAACAAGCGTGAAGGAATGAATCCATTATACGTGCCTTGAATGTATGCTATTGAGTGTGTTTGTGAAATAAATAAATGTTTCCATCACATTTCTCACCTGGTTTGTCTACGAATGAGAATCAGATGTTCACGAAAGTGAATCAGCCCGTGACAGGATGATACCTACCATCTACCATCCAATTCAACCATGATCACCTGCATGTCACGTGCACGGAATGAGGTTAGATGCTTCTTACGATAAATCAATATTATCACGAACAACCACCCATACCAATACCTACGACTTGAATGGCAAGTCCTCAGTCTCAGCCTCACCACAATGTCTTTGCACAATGCACAATCCACACCACGTTTATGGATACACTGCCATTCCTTTTGCGTATTCTTTCATCAAATCAGTAACTACCGATTTCCTGCTTTCTCGTCCACTATTGGGCAGAAAACGATTTTTATGCAGGAAACACTGACATCAAAAAAAAAAAAAAAACATTACTTTTGACCGTGATGCGCATTATTTGTCGACTTTCCCAAAAACGCTCGCTTTCGATCGGTCAGTGAGGCTGCCATATCCTCATAACGGCATTTCAATGGCAGTGCTTTTCTCAGTTCACCATATTCTTGTTCCGTGACACGGAACAAAAGTAAGGGTAGAATAAAGGTTGAAGTAGGCTTGCAATCGGTTCAAATTAGGTATGGCATCATAGATTGTTCAATTTTGATTGTTTCTATGTCAAATTTTTATATTTTTATGGACGTTTTCATATAGTTTTATTGAAACGCCGTGACCATGTTTCGTCACGGAACAACTCATTTAATTTGGAACGTTTAAGCAATCTCGACTTTTGTTTATAAAAAATTGGGTACCGTTAGAATCGTTGAGAGACGGCGCTTTTCATAGCATAAAATTATTGCCCAGTTAATGCCGATTGCAGGTATAATACCGACATATGCTGATATCACTTTTACATGAAGTAATGTTTGTCTAGGGCATAAAATCCCTTTGCTTATAAGTAAAGCAATAAAGAAATAAAGCAGCCAGATTGAGGTCAAATATTCATTTATTTTATATTCGTTTTAAATATGATATGCTATTTTGAAGTTTTCATCAATTTGAATCATTTTTATCAAATTGAAAACCAGTAAAGAGGAAATCCCTTTCCTCTAATTTCCCTCGCCGAGTCATCCATCCTCCGCGCCATTTCTCAAGGCTCGAGGTGCGCGGTGTCCGTTTCAGTCTGGGCAAGCGCGTGGGCAATTATCTATTATTGATTATAATCATTTGTGGCATGGTTTTTGGGGGTTGTCTTGCACAAGACCTTTTTTTAAGTGCTGGCATGTTTTTGTGTCTTTGTGGTTCGTTATTTGTTGGTTATTTGCTTCAAGCTGGTTTGCGTCAAATTTGTCAAACTTGCATTAGATAGGTATAGGTCATTTATACTGATACTATCTAGGTAGGTAGGTACCAGTCCACTTGACTATGTTTTGATGTTGCTTAAAGGTATTTCAAATAGTATTTCAATATACTTAGCAGTTTTTGTTTCATGTGAAAATGTGTCATTTGAAAAGCATATTCTGGATGTTGTGTATATTTTTATACCCCACTCATTTTTCTCACTGCATTCACAATTTTAAGAATAATTTGTATATTTTCCATTATGAATAATTTTGAGCATCAGTGATCATCCATTACCTGCATGTCCAGATTTGCTAACTAATTATAAATAGTCTAACACTTGGCTGTAAGGCCACAACCTGCTGTGTTCCTTGAACCTTTTTTTATGTGTAGAAGCTGCTGTTTCTGACTGAGACTCTGGCAAATATCTTGTATACTTAAAGCATACCTAGAACAAAACGCATGGCCCTACAGTGCCTTACTTTATGATTTTTGTTCCGTGAGCAGCTAAACATTTTGTTCCGCGAACTTAGATCCCCAAACCACTTTTCTGACACTGCATCCAACTCCTCACGCCAACCTCCCACGGTCGTCTCCTCACCTTGAGCATCTCGGAGACCACGGAGGTGGGCTCCACCTGCTTCATCTTGCTCTCCATCAGCAGCTTGGCCAGGCTGGACTGGGGCTGCGCGCCGCTGGCCGCGTCCGTGCCGGGCGCGCTCACCTGGTGTATGGTGACCTCGCCAGTGCCGCCGGCCACCGACGCCACGGCCGCGGCGGCCGCTGCCGACGGCGCCTTGCTCAGTTTGGCGATCTGCGCCAGCATCTCTCGGTACTGGGGGTCCTGCTGGCCGGCCGGCGCCGAGCTGGCTGGCAGCGGCACGGCCAGGTCGGCGCGCCGCCGGTAGTCGGCCGCGTGCCGGTCGATCAGGTGCTGCACGCTGATGGTGGGCCCCTGCGGACCCATGCCCTGGCCCATCCTGCTGGCGCCGTACGCCGGCCGGATGGGCCGCAGGCCGTGCGAGGACTGCGCGCTGAGCGCGGCCGCCGCCGCCGCCGCGCGCTGCGCCTGCTGCTGCTGCTTCTGTTTGTGCTGCTGCAGCTGCTGCTGCACCAGGCTGCTGGCTACCGAGACGGGGGAGCGCGCCGGGGGTACGACCGCCGAGCCGGAGCCGCCGCTGGCCGGGCCGGCCGCCACGCGCTGCGCCAGCCCGGCCGCCTCATCACTCTGCTGCATCAGCAGCACCTCGCGCTTCCGCCGGAGCCGCTGGAACGTCTCCTCCTTGGCCTTGCGTAGCTTCAGCAGGTTGTCCCATTCCTTCTCCTTCTGCCGCGCCAGCAGGTCGATAGCCTTCACCTCCCTCTTGAGCTTGTGCAGCGACGACTCGATCAGCTCGACGGTGCGCAGGCAGGCCAGGTCGGGCGTCAGCGGCGTGGCGCGCTCGTTCGGGTCCACGCGCGCCCGCTTGGCGGCGCCGTCCTCGGCCGTCTCGCCGCTCCGTTTGCGCGGCGCTGCCGGTGTGGTGGCGGCTCCCCCGCCGGCGGTGGCGGCCGTCTGCGGCTGCTGCTGAGCCGCCGCCACAGGCGCTGGGGCGGTGGTTGTCGGCGGCGGCGGCGTCTCCGACTCGGCGGCAGCGGCGGGCGGCGCCGGCGCCGGCTCCGGAGAGTCGCGTCCGTTCACCACAGGTGGCTCTGACTGGGCCTCCTCCGCTGGTGGACACAGGACACGGCGTCAGCTATCTGCCCGGCGGAGCTCGGACCGAGCACCGGGTACGGGGAGCCGTCAGTGGCGCCGGTACCGGGACAACAGCCGTTAGTGCCACTGGCACCGGGCACAGGTCACGTCAGTGCCAGTGGGACCGCGAGAGCACACATTCAGTTCCAATAGTACGGGAACAGCACACAGTCAGTTAGAACTGAGGGAACAAGTCTGCCGTACTGGAGAGCAATCTCATCAGCAGCTCTACAGATGATGAAAAGTGGTGAAAAAGTAGTAATAGTTAAATAATGAAACAAGCACGCCGACCATAAAAGCACGCAGAAGCGAAGGTTTAAATACGAAATATAATAAGGTTCGACGTCGTAACCAAGGAGCATGCCCAAACAGCAAAGTAAAAATCGATCCAATCACTAGGCAGGTATTCATCGCAGAGAACTGTACAAACAGAAATACGAGACCCGATTGAAGGCGTCAGCTACTACATCGAAGAAACGTGCCATAGGTACTCAGAAGAAATGTGTTCGTTTTAGGAGCATCAAAAATAGTTGACTGTTGACAAGGTTGCTTTAAGAAGCTCTTGAAAAAAAGACGAGAGCAATAGATATAACACAGTTATTATGATCTTGCAGATTCATTTGACAAATTATGTGATCGACGGCTGCAGAATACCTATCAAAAATGCACAACAGCTGCTCGAGGGCCAGTGAGAAAATACAAATAGTGTAGGAACTGAGACCACAAAATGGATGTGGGAATTGAGATGGATGCTATCAGCAAACTAGTATACACTACAGGTTGCAAAAACATTACAGTTAGGATCAAAGAATTTCTCATTCGTCATTGGCTTATAAATACAAAGCAGTAAGTAGTTGATACCAGAAAAACATCAAAGCTTTTATTAAGCACCTCAATTCAATTCAATTCCAAATTAATCATTCCACTATAGATATAATAAAAGGCTTAACATAATATTGAAAAAGCAGGCAAGAGAAAAGCAGTCATGATAGCAACACCGCAAAAAAAGAAACATTCCCCTTAGGGTGCAGTTGCAAAGTAACTAAAACTACGCTTACCAGTATCCATTGATTCCTCTGGTTCTTCGTGTTTCTCATCTTTAGCAGCTGGGGTTTGTACATTTGAGCTATCATTGGTTTTGCTGGCGGCCTGCTCACTATCACCATTGCTGTGTGGGTGGCCATTTTCCTTCACCTCCACTGTGACAGCACTGCCATCGCTGGTGCCAGTAGTCATCATTGCACTGGAAAACAGGGAAAAACACCATCAGCACAGTGAATAATCACCAAACAATCACCAAACAAACAGTCACCAAACAAACAGTCACCAAACAATTCCTCAACAAACAATAGTCATCTTCCTTCTAGATCAAACAAACACTTCACAAAGCCATTGGTACCCACAAATCAGCCACACAGTATATGTACAAAGAGACAACAACTGCACTGAGCATGCACTGCAACAACAGACACAAATAGCGGCATTAAGATTTTGATGGTTTTAATTAACTCAGTTTGGGGAAAAACCAGTGATGCCTGAATTTAATTGTAAGGATCTTCAATGATAACAACATGTCAACATTGCATTTACATCAATTTTGACCAGCAACAAAGCATAATTTTCCTGTAAAGGTTAGGTAGATGAACAAATTGGAAGAACCTGCCTTATACTGCTGTTCAACTTGTAGGTACTTTTTGAGTCCTTAAGCAATTCATTAATAGTTAACAAAAAGCAGCTTATAATTAATTATGCAATTAGCTGGCTAAGGCATATTGTTATAATGCCCAGTGTGCATCCGGAAGTGGGGTAGGAACTAGGACCGTGACCAATGACAATCTAAGGATTAAGTGGTTAGTTCATGGTTGCCAACACCACAATTAATTATCTGTACTGATGAATAGGTACGTAATATATGCCAATAAGTTGCTAACAAACATCGCTTAAGTGTCTGCCACTAAGCTACTTCTTATTCCTACTATGTCCTCCTACTGGTGTATGTGTCATTCAATGTAATTATCCCAGATTATCCCAACTCCCAAAACACACATCAGGATCAGCTGACCAATCACTCACTCCATTACTGGAGGGTTGTACCTACTTATCTCATGGTGATCATGAACAATAATAGAGAAGAAGTTGAAGCTAATTTTTTGAAACAAATGCATGTTGTTCTGGGTTAGGGCGCGTAGCAGCTTGGCTCTTGCGTCCAATGAAACAAATGCAACTTCCATGGATAAAGAGAACAAGTTGAAGCCATTTTTCCCGAACCAATGCAACTTCTGCGGACTCAGTTTCATTTGAGAATGTTACCATAATCTACAGATAAATTTCGAACACAAAACAAATTGAAATGTTTTGATGTGTCAGAATGTCATACAATATTCATGAATTCAGATTCTCATATAGCAGCACAATTGCCATGGGATGACTGACTAATCCAATCACTAAAATAAGCGCCACAAACGCCTACGCATTTCCAGCCGGCATACCGTATTTAAAACGACACCACCACGCACAATACAAAGCACAGCAAAGTTCTGACTACATAAATGATTAATACGATCATCATAAAAGCTTCTTAAACACACAGGAAGGTAATAAAACGAAAGAAATTGCACAAGCACGGCATACACCAATCACCCACATCAGCCACAATTGAATGGCGGCTGCTAGATGACAACGAGAGATTCCGGGATAGCTGAGAATTCTGCATAAAAATCCCTAGATATGCCGTTTTCGGAAATATTTCGCTAAGCTTTCATTCTTCTCAAGGATAGTAAGAACGGAACGGTAAGAACAAAATGGAAGTGGAACTGACAGGTCAGAAAAGGGCCCAGTAGCGCCGGAACACCTTCAATTAAGGGGAAGGGGGGGGGGGCACTGCCGACTTTTGGTCCCATTCTTTCCATGCAACGCCCATACGGCTAATGTTAAAATGCCTAAATCAAAGGGGGGTACGGTGCCCCGGTGCTCTCCCTGTTCCGCCGCCTATGAAAGGGCCCCGGCCTGGGCTCCGGCAGATCCAAGGAACAAGTTTGCTTCTTAGTCACCAGGTCACGGCAAGAGGTCACAGTAGAAAAAATGCAGTTAGAGAAAATGTCGTGCTTCATCCATTCCACAGCTACATCGACTAATATTGTTTTTGCGTCTTTTAACTATCGATAAGCGAGTCAGAAGTGATGACACCCAAATTCGGATTTTCAATAAGCCTCAGTAATCTACCCTAGCCAGGTCAGGGCCACCCAAAGAGGTCACCATGACCGTTCCACTGACCTTCGCCGGACCATATGACCATATGACGATAGGTACCTATCAGGCAAGCCGGTGACCTTTGAGGTCAGGTCACAGGCCACATGGAACCTTTGACGGACTTTGCAAGGTGGTGGCCTGTTTTTATTTTTAGCATCTTTCAAAAAAAACGTCGCAGAGCCGCGATTTTGGCATCAGCGTGATCGTCATGCTCAGGCGTGTCAACGGTCGAATGTTGCTTGCTAATAAGAGCGGTCAGCTTAGAATGCCGACCTCAGGTCAAGGTCAGGTCAAAACCGCTAAGATTGCGGCGACGGTGATCTAAGGTATTGCATATCGGCCGATTCTGCAGACATTTCCTTAGCTTATCGGTGGAATCCAGCTCAATTTCATCGACACCAGTTCCGGCCCCCACCACTTTGCCACCACCACCTTCCTGTCACCTGTTCCTGCCCACCAACGAGTTCTCTTGATCACCGGTCCCGGTCCCACCGGCCACCGCTGAGTTCCTGTGACCTGCCCCAGTCCCCAGTCACCGGGTTCCTCTGTCACCGAACCACGGTCCACGCGGCGCAGTGGCTGCCCACGTCACCAGCAGAGGCCACGCAGTCACTAACGGATTCACAGACACCATCAGATAAACGGACAACGAGAACGCCGAACGGGAGACATCAGACTGATTGGAGCTATTGCTCGCGACAAATGAACGGGACAGAACGATGCTATGCAGAATATACCAGTAGCGGCGGAACATCTTCAATTAAGGGGGGGGGGCACTGCCGAATTTTGGTCCCATTCTTTCCATGCAACGCCCATAAGGCTAATGTTAAAATGCCAAAATCAAAGGGGGGCACGGCGCCCCGGTGCCCTCCCCGTTCCGCCGCCTATGGAATATGCACCCGGTTTATAGGTATTCTTTTTATAGCGAGACCGTGAGTTTAAAGCTTCATATGCAACACAATTTTCCGATTAAATGTTATAACTTTTATACCTATCGGACTTAACCCTCGCCCGTATTGCTGTTTTACCACTGATCATCAAAGGTCAATGACCTTGACCTGTCCTTCACGTGACCCTGACATCCACCATAATGCATGGGACCACCAGCATATCAAATGTTTGAACATTTGCAACCACAAAAAAAAAACAGAAACGCGCGGATAATGGGAGCCAACATACGCCGAATCGCGATTCTGGCCGAACACGTTCTCGAGAAAAAGGCCACAGATCAAAGGTCATTCGGGTCAGGGCATAGACCTCTGTGTACCTTGGGAGTCTATGGTCAGGGTCATAACATTTTCAGGGCAGACGTAAAAATTGTCAACTCGAGAGTACTAAAAGTGCCGTCGCGATCGGCCGCTTTTTGCGCGAGTTATTCGCGAGAAACCGAGCGGGGCCATCCGATCCCTATAAGTGCGATGCGGACTGCAGACGATAAGGTCGGTTTCATTTAGGTCGGCATTTCCATCACGAATTCACCCAGCCCAGCAGTCCGTTCCTTTCAATTTTCTGTTGCAGATCAGTTCACAATCGGTCAATTTCATTAGACCTGCATCAGTCCCAGCATCTATCATAAAAAGGTCGGTAATTCGGAATCCTTATTTCCTACCGTCGCACCAAATAGCAGCATGTGCCAAAATCTGCTAGAGAAACTTAGTGGAGCCCCGGCGGATGACCTTGACTTGTCAATCGAGCTAGGCAGCAGCGTAGCGCCGGGAGACCGCTGTTGGTTGACAACGCTCGCGGCGCGGAGCATCACGCCCGATCAATGCCCCCCCCCCCCCCCCCGTAACCCTTCCCCCTCCCCACCCGGTGGACCGGTGGCCCCGCAACCGCTCGTTGATGCTGCAAATTTGTCCGCAACAAACGCCGATCTTACAGCTGAAAAGTAGATATATTCTGACACCAGCATTTAGGTAGGTATCCTCGCGAGTCGCTGAGCAGTTTCTTTTCTTTTTTGCAATTGCCTCTCCCTAGTTTTTATTGTGCCTGCAGAAACCGATTTCATTTAACTGCGTTGATCGCCTTATAACAGTTAAATAACACGATCATTAAGAAATCTGTGACCAAAACGAAGCAGAAATGCATTCGGCCATAAAATGGGTTAAAAATTATGCAAATGCATATAGTCGGTTGATACTAACACAGGGGTAGCTATTTGGTGTAACCGTCTTTTCCCATGGAAAATGGCCCATGATGCGCTGTTGGCCAGTGCACGTGGCCGGCGGCTGTCCTCAGGGTCTGTGCACGCCAAATCCGAGCTGCACAGCCCGCGGCCGTGCCGGCGCGCCATATAACGGAAACACGGCACAACGCTCACAAAAAGCGGGCAAGGTCAGTCAAGGTCGCCGACGCCGGCCGGCCGGTTGTTCAACCTGCGCCGGTCGGCGCGCCCCGGCCGGCCGCAGCTCGGCGCATGGCACGGGTAAAACGGGAGCCAGCCCGAACGGGTGAACAACCTCGCCAGCCGCCCAAATCCCGTCCACCCCCCGCCTCCAAAATCGGCCCAGCGTCGGCCCGAGGGGGGCTGGCACAGCGGACACAGGCCAATATTGGGCGTTCGGCTGATGACGACCAGCGCGCGGCACTCAATGCGACCGGGTCGACCGGCAATGGCCAGAGCGGGCTTCCAGCGCTGGTTCAAGGGCCGCCAGCTTTGCCCTTGGTCTGACATTGGCGACCGGTTTGCGATCTGAGAAATCACCGCAACACGCGGATATGGCCGAACGCTGGCGGCGAACCGTTTCGGTACGCCCGCCTGCACTCTGAATAACCGGACCACTATTTGCTGTGTGTTTATTTTACGCTTAGCGACCGCGGAAACGAGTTGAATATTTTTTGGAAACAATTCGTGTTAGAAAAGCCTCGGGTAATTTCTGTCACAAGCTGACACGACATCATATCAACGCGCTTATCAGGGGAAAGTGAGGTAAGACGGGCACCTTAACTTTGGAGCCATTTTTCGGCCGGTAAGAAACATCATAGAAACGGGAA